TACATGATGACAGTTACTAACTAATGCTCAACCAGAATGTACAATAGTCTTATTTTTCGAACACATGCAATACAAGTATTTGCTCAAGAGTACAAATACTGTAAATAATAATAGATACCGGAATTGTTTTTATATTATAAGTGGATATATTATATTCTAATATGTGAATTGATTCTCTTTTTATTGCATATTAAATAAATATGAATGTATTTGTTAAACCCTATTCTTGTTTTTCATTTCATTTTCCCGAGATGGAGGACACCAAGGTGCTTCTGAATAATCCATATTTCATGGGTCTATCATTCTTTATAACTGAGATACAGGGTGATTCAATTATTCATAACTTATGAACCACCCTATACAATTTCTCGATATTTGGTTTCTATGTTCTTTGTCCTCAGTGGTGATGATGGACATAATGAAAAAATACAACACCCAATGAATCAATATTTTAAAATCCCATTTACAAATTTGGAGCAGAAGAAAATGAGTATAACTGCCGATTTGCCCCAAAATGTCACTGCACATATATTGAAATAATACTCATATTTTCATTTTATAGAAACGAGGAGAGAAAATCCCAAAGAATCAAGTAAAATGAATGTACCACCTCCTCCGAGTACTTAAAAAATAACCTATCATTAAAAAAAACGCCCAAAACGGACAAAGTTTTGACGAAAATGTTTCCTGAACTTTTGGCTTCGCAATACGGAAGACATGATTTAATATACAGGGAGGTGCGAAAGTCGAAACCGATGCTATAAAAATGCCCCAATTCATTTTTAGTTTGATAGTTATCTCGTTTTTCCTACGATTCTTCGAAAGAAAATTAAATGAAAAGGGTATTTTTGTTGGAATGCCGTGAAACGAGCCATTTTCAAGAATAATGTCGTTTTTCATTTTGAGTCCGAAAAAAATCACAATGATTTAGAGCGTGTGTTTTATTAGAGTTAATATCGTGATGTTGATTCGTTGAGAAAATATCTAGAATCGAAATTTACTAAATTTCACAAACTACATTCACTAGGTGGAAAATTTTGGATATCAAAATGAAAAATTACCACTTTTCTGCTCGAATACGGTTCGTTTTAAGGTATTCTAACAAGAATACTTTTTTTCATGTAAAAGTGTTTGATAAACTCATATTTTTTTTTTTTCAATTGCATTTCCTCGTTGGACCCAGCACTGGATCCAACTCCCCATAAGTCGAAACTTGTGCGAGGTTAGGAAAGCATACTTATACATTCACTCATATTCTGATGGGAGTAGAAATGAAATGAAGATTGAACCAAAAAAACTTGTAGCAGTTTTATAGCATCCGTCATGAGTTTCTAACCTCCCTCAACCATGTTTACCGTACCACGAAACGATTTAATATCGAATCACGTTGGAGACCTACAGAACATCTCTTTACAAAGACTCGTTCATCCAACGAACAGTCAGGCTCTGGAAAACATTGCCAAGGGAGGTGTTCTCTGAGGCATATAAACTCCAGAAATTTAATAAGAACACCAATTCCTACCTTATTTCCCTGGGTTCTCACGATGTTTTCTGAACATTACAGGATATCCCTTTTCGTGGGAACCAGAACATAAAAAAAATAAAATCTATAAGGACCTAGATACCTTCAAAGGGCTCTAGTGCCCTTAGAAAGCATTTTCGGACTCATATGATGATAGGAATGTTTTTCTTAATATTATCTGCAGAATTACCTCCCGCGGTATACGAACGTTATTCTGGGACACCCTGTATATTTCAATATATGAAAGTAATGACATCATCCATCTATTGAGGATTCTGAATAACTTCGATTATATTTATTTGAGAATTATGTTTCACAAAATAAAAACATATAGAAATCTATTAAGTATGGTATAGAGTAGAACCACAATATACAGACAACTACCAAAGAGGAACCTTCTATTCTTTGCAACTACAGTAGTCACTAACTAGTGTTAGTACTCAAAGACTGTATCAGAGATTATACACTGTATAGAACACAGTCTGGGAAATGAAGAAATCTCCACTTTTGGATTATAGCGCCATCTGACCACAATACACACAAACTATGAGGACATCAGAAATTCTATTTGCTAGGAATTCATACTCTCTGTTAGGGGTCTATCAAACTTTTGAGGAACTATCGCTGTTCTCCGCTAGATGGCAGATACATATTTTTTGGATGACATAACTGCATCGAATTATACAGGATGAGTAAACGATAATACATGATAATACCGATGGCTCATTCCATAGTCATATTCAAATTCTCGGGAAAAACTCCCAAATCATGTATAAAGTAGCGATAAAACTACTAAAACAGTCCGCAATGTTTCTTATTATGTAGGTACTATAGACGACGCAAAGGTATACCGGGTGGTCCCTCGGGTGGTCCATTTATGAGTTTATGACTATCCACCCCTAATAAGAAAAATGATTCAACAAAAAAACAACGACAGACTCCGTAATTTATTTGGAGGAGGGCACTGTTTAAAGCAAAGAAGATAATACATACTTCAATAACGCTCTACTCCTTAGAGCAACACCCTCTATAATTTGAACAGTCATGTTATACAATTAAAGGTACATCATTGCAATGGTAGGGTGAAGTGGGGGAACCGCGGTCTCATAAGCATTTATTCTCGCTGTAGCGATAGTGATTATTGGTTTCTATAATCAAGTTGAAGCTCAGATATCATTCAAAATACAATATATTTTCATCGCGAATGAATACATGAAAATTCCACTCTGGATTTATCGGAAAAACAACCTCCAAACATAAAGCCAATTACATAAAGCAAATTTATAGTCATATGCCCGAGATCACCTTTCGCCATGGCTCCGACGAAGTCCCACCGAATGTTCTTGAGAAATAACTAACACCTGATGTTCTCTGCAATATTATTTGTTAAACTCCTCCTACAAATTGGGGATATTCCCGTCCAACTGGAAAATTACAAGAGTACAACAGGTTCCTAAGAAAGGCAAAAAGACCCTACCTAGCAACTACAGACCGATCGCACTGGCTATCTCTATTATTGCAAAGATCATATGGAGAGAGCTATCAACATCGAACTTATGAAATAACTGGAACATTCAGGTATTATCAACGATAGGCAATATGGTTTCCGTCATCAGAGATCAACTGCATGGTGACCTGCTCGCTTACGTCTCACATATATGGCAGCAATCTATTGAAAAATATGGTGAAACCTTAGCCGTGGCACTTGATATCTCCAAGGCATTCGTTCGAGTCTGGCACCACGGATTCCTCGCCAAACTTCCATCTTATGGCTTGCCTCCCCAGCTATGTTCTCTGCTAGCTAGTTTTCTCTCAAACAGGTCTCGTGTTCGACGGAGTTTCATCTGACTCTCTTATCAAAAATGCTGGTGGTCCGCATGGATCAATTGGTATTACTATCACAATAACCTTTCTTGGGAAAATCACGTGAGATCAATTGCTAAAAGTGCATCCCAATAACTTGGTTTTCTGTTTCGGGCCAGGAGCTGTTTCACTTCCAGTCAGCTGCTTATGATCTATAAGGCACAGATCCGACCTGTCCTGGAATACTGTTCTCATATTTGGAGTGCACCCAAACATACCCTGAAACTGTTGGATTCTGTCCAAAAAAGGGCAATTCGTCTCGTGGGTGATGCCTAGCTCACATTCACAAACTCACTCACTTCTTTGGAACACCGTAGAAAAGTTGGCGATCTGACTCTACTTCATAGATATTTTCATGGAAGATGCTCTTCTGAAATATCAACAATTGTTTCTCCCTTGGCAGTCCCCGCGAAATTAACCCGTCGAGTTGAGGCTTCGCACCCCTTCGTGGTCACTTTAGAAACCTGCAGAACATCTTTTTCCAAACACTCGTTCATCCAACGAACAGCGAGGCTCTGGAACACATTGCCAAGGGAGGTATTCCCTGAGGCATATAACCTCGAGAAATTCAAGAAGAACATCAATTTCTACTTTTTCCCCTTGGTTCTAACGATGTTCTCTGAACATTACAGGATATCCCTTTTCGTCGGAACCAGAACATAAATAAATACATAATGTACTATTAATCTATGGTTTGGAAGAGATTGGAGTACCGAGAAAATCTATGGCCGGTTATTACCCCAATATGTATTCCCCTACTTCACCCTAACTCAATTCCTTATAATATGCCGAGATTTATCGTTTCCAATGCTAACTTTCGACACGAATAAATATATTGTTTTTCTACAGGTGTATTTATACGTACTCCTCTATATTTTATAGTACTAGATGTTCATCCACCAGAAAAGCCGTTGGCCAAATCAGAATTGGATTGGACAATTTTGGCCATTGCATGCCGGGTGCTTCAAGATTCTGATCACCCTGTATCTGTTCCAATTCAATGTCAGTAGAAAGTGCATCGAAAGTCAAAATAGGGACATGTAAGCCGTTTTGATCGATAATGAATAGTTTCGACATAAAAAATCCTAAAATTGAAAAATCTCGATTTTGAACACCCTATATCTCTGTAATTATTCCTGTTAAATAGACTCCCAAGTGTGAAACATTGATGAAATCAGCTCAGGGAGAATCTAAAAAAGCAATAAAATACAGGGTGCTCCAAATAAAATAACGAAGTTGCTAGTTGTTTCTGATAGAAGTGGCAACACTGTATCGATAAAAATATTTTAGGCGGATAGAGAATGTTCAATTATCAAAGCATCCCAATTTTCAGAATGTTCTGTCTTTTCGTTCTCCAGATACTTCTAATATGCCATCCACCGTGGATCACCCTGTATACATAGTATATAAACATATACCTATCCATGATAGTAAATATAGAATTTAGTATCATGAATTCTTGAACATACTTACCTACCGTACCACACTTCACTCACGGTCTGTGTTTCATTATTATTACTGCACATCTTCAGTAAACGTTAACTGTTACTGCGCAAGAGCAAAACCTCGAAAGATATACTACGTATACTATCACGAAACTCGCAAACAGCCTTGTTGTCGCTCGACGTGCTACTGCTAGAGTAGAAAAGAAACGCAAACCTCACTTTTTGTGTGCTACCTACGCTACCTACTGATTCCCGAATTCAGAATTGGCTTCCAAGAAATCAATGGACTGAGGTAAGCCCATTACTTCATTTTTGTGCTCATTATCACACATATATTCTGCGTTTTCTGTAGAGTAGAAAAACTTTCACAAACAATACTGAAAATGGGAACCTCTAAATAAATACCTAGCTCCTCGAGCCCCATTGGGAGACATTCCGATTAGAAACTGTTGATTCGATGCGCGGCGTTGTCAGACGTTCACATCAATTTTTTACGTGACTGTACCGACCACAGTTTGTTATGAATTCTGATGGAGATGGAGATAGAGGTGAAGCCTCAATGTGAATTCAAGATAATGAGTCATTCCGAAACCTAATTGTTTATTTACATGATAAACAATTTACAATAATGAAGCCTTTATCGACTCATGACTCTTAATATCGTGGTTTCTACCTGCTGATAATAAGGTGGAAGGTTTTGATTTTTTTGCTATCGCTATATATATAGATAGGTACCTACCTATTTATGCGTCTATAGGTTCAAGGTTTCGACAACTAGGTACCTTATTCTTCATCGTTAATATTGAAATCATGACCTATAATGACCTTAACCGATTCCATTATTTCTATCAGAAAATGAGGTCAGTTTTTTCGGGATTACCACAGAACTCAGTACTTTGCGGGTAGGTAGGTAGATAGGTAGGTATTCCAGATATTTTTTCGCCATTTTTATACCTAAATGCATCAGGGTATCCTATCCGAGCCAAATTCCCATAGGTCATTTCTAATGATGTTTGAACTATTCCCTCGACTATTCCTATGATATACGAAATACCTCAGCCACCGCCTCAGCAGAACGGAGGTTTTCACTTTACAAAATCGATATACGAATTCTTAATCTCAGCCGGAGATACTACGGTCCTGTGTAAGATTCAATGTTGTCTTAAAAAATAACAGTTCCTGAGGTGGCGTATGGAGTCAGTGTCAAAACCTACACAGAACACATAATAATAGGCTGGGGGACTTTTCGTGATTTTAATGGCCATCAGTGTGCTACTATCTATTTTATTCACTGATGTTTCAAATTGCTGCATTGTTATTTTTGCTCATCTATTCCGCCAGATTAAGTACCTATTTATAGTTGTTAGGTATATATAGGTATATAATTGCAACTTGTTTTTGAGTTACTTACCTAACTTTCACCAAATAACCTACTTATTTTATGGATAAACCTATTAACCTACCTACATATTCTTTTAGACTTGGTAAATAACAACAATAAAGGTGATTAGATTGACCTTGATTAAAGTATAATGAGGTTGTAAATATACATATTTTTGCACTTTATTGCAGCTGTATGACATCTTGATTGGATGGTTGGTCACAATAAACTATCATCAAGGTAATGGTTCGATATACTGGTGGTACCTAATTGGTAATTTATGAATCAAAATGTTGAAAATATCCCTAGGTGGTAGGTATACCATTAAACAATTCTAAATACCTATCAGGGAAGTTTTGATCTGTTTTGACGGTATCAAAATTGTCGACCTACATCATTGGTGTTAGGTTTCAAGGTTTCGGAAGTTATTAGGTTTCTCCTATAATTACACAGCAATAAAACAGCCTGGTGAGTAATACATAACTCCACCACGTCAAAATGACCAATCCCATTCCATGAAGTGAAACGGATCGTGACTGGTGACTAAACTGGAGCCATTGTCCTCGACTAGCTCTCTCGCGCGAAGGAGAAATAGAGGTCAATTAGAAATAGGTAGCTCGTTATCGCGCAGCTGGTGCTAGATGGCAACGTTGCAATCGAGTGAGCGAGAGAGTTCGAGTTCGGTTTTTGGTAGACAGGTTTAAAACGGTTTCGTAGCCTGGCTGCCTGGCGATCCACGGATGACTAGATTAAATTGTGGAGGCATGCGCCCGTATAGTTGGATAACGTTGTTGGGGGCTTCCTTTTCCAATTTTCTTTTTCATCCTTCCTACTGGAGAAAGGAGAACCAAGTCGAAATACTTATAATAATGTGCCTTCACTCTCCACCTAACTTTATTTTCTTATTCACCTCACGATGTTCAAGATTCCTCGCGAAAAAAATCTAGTGGATTGAGGTCTGGTGTTTTTGCGGTCATGGGTAAAAGTTCACCAATGGTTCTCCCATATCAACTTTATCGTTTGAGCATCTATAGTGCATTATGTTATGGTGCATATTGGGCAATCATTGAGGCCAAAATGCCATCACTGGTTTTGAACCGAGTTTTGAACTATGTTTTGATGATATACCTACCTAGAGGTTTCTTCGTATCTGTAGTGGCTATTTTTAGGATATGGCAATAAAACATTGCATAGGTGGTAGGTATAGAAACATACCCTGAAACTGTTGGATTCTGCCCAAAAAAGGGCAATTCGTCTCGTGGGTGATGCCTCGCTCACAAACTCACTGACTTCTCTGAAACACCGAAGAAAAGTTGGCGATCTGGCTCTATTTTATAGATATTTTCATGGACGATGCTCCTCTGAAATATCAACAATTGTTCCTCCATTGGCAGTCCCCGCGAGATTAACCCGTCGAGTTGAGGCTTCACACCCCGTCGTGGTCACTTTGGAGACCTGCAGAACATCTCTTTCCGAACAGCGTGACTATGGAACACATTGCCAATGGAGGTGTTCCCCGAGGCATATAACCTCCAGAAATTTAAGAAGAACATTACAGGATATCCCTTTTCGTGGGAACCAGAACATTTAAAAAAAGTGACTTAAACCTTCAATAAATAATAGTAAACCTTGAAAATCTAAATATTCGATATTGGTCTACATTTTCGAAGAGACCTCGTTGAGGTAATTTTTGATGAAATTTTTATTTTGGACAATCGGTCAATGGGATCCAAATTAGGAGGATGTTGCGAGCTGAAATCGACATACTGTATATATAATTATACCCTGTACATTTTTGGAGGTGAAAATTGAAGAAATAATGGCATTGCACTTATGGTTATAGGAAACATCCCAGTTATAGGTTTGTATATACCACTGGGTACTAGGAAGTATAAGTACAGGGTGATTCACCATAAATGTCCCCCCCTCTAGCCCACTTATTTTTCAACCGATCAAAAAATTTTAAAAATCATCCAAAATGATTTTTACGAAAAAAATTTTCCGTTGCATTGCAGAAAATACAGGGTGCTCGGAACAAACGATCTTCATGGTACTATTTGCTTTTTTTAAAAGGAACACCCTGTATTTCATTGTATTTTCAGATTGTAGTTTTAGATTCTCCCTAAAGAGCTGATTTCATCAATGCATCACATTTGGGGTCTAGCGAAAATGATTACAAGGATATAAGGTGTTCAAAATCGACATTTTTTCAACTTTAGGATTTTTCTGTGACGATCCGTATCTTAACTTTCGATTTACTATCTACTGACATTTAATAATTGAAACAGATACAGGGTGATCAGAATTCTGAATCTTGAACACACTGTATATGTTCCAATTAAATGTCAGTAGATAGATAGTAAATCAAAAGTTGAGAAGGAGACTTCGACGCCGTTTTGACCAATAATGAATAGTTTCGACACGAAAAAATACTAATGTTGAAAAATCTCGGTTTTGAACACCCTATATCTCTGTAATCATTCCCGCTAGACCCCAAGTGTGATGTATTGATGAAATCAGCTCTTTAGGGAGAATCTGAAAATACAATGAAATACAGGGTGTTCCATTGGAAAAAATCAAGTAGTACTCTCAATATCGTTTGTTCCGAGTACCCTGTATTTTTTGATGCAACGGGAAAAAATTTCTAAAAAATCATTCTGGATGATTTTTCAAATTTTTAAATCGGTTAAAAAATAAGTGAGCTAGAGGGGGGACATTTATGGTGAATCACCCTGTACATCCTGTGCCTATTTTCATTTTTGATAATGATAATAATGAAAGTGTGCCTAACTGTAAGTAGGCATCGTGGGCATGACTAATAAATATTTGATGAAGCATTTCAACTCAAAACCATCTCCACAATGCTCGTAAATCTGTTTTTTCTTGAGGTACCTGACCTGATGTTTTTTCCTTCAATCCATTCATACAATATAGCATTGGAATGTTTTTGCATTCCCAAAATTTAATGTTGTTCTGATTATACAGGATGATTCAGGATTTAAGGTATACAAACTGAAACGGGTGATAGATCTCATTTGATTAAAAAAGTGCATATAAACATGAGTCCGATCTCGATCAGAGCGGAGTTACAGAGGATCGAATTTTAATTATTTGTTTCTATTTATTGAAACATCTCGCTCACTAATGAAGATATCAATTTAAAATTTGATGTAGTCAATACTTTCTAGAAAATCATAATTTTCAGGATTTTTTAGGATCCACAGGGTGATACGTTTTTGGGGGTAGAGGCTTCTTTGTCTCCCCCAAATTTTTTTGTAGTAGGTACGCCTCTCACATCCCAGTTAACAAATAGGATGGATCGTTCAATTTGGAGGCTTTTTTGTCTCTAATTTTTTTCGAGATAAATAAGCATATCCGTTCTAAAACATGTTGATTTCATCTAATATTCTTTCTATTGAATTTCATTTTTGAACAAAATTCGTTAACACTATTGACATTGTAGCGTTTAAATTTGCTGAGCATAGATTTTTGATTTAGTTTTCATGGTACCCTAAGTAAACATTCAAATAATATCATCAAGGAGGCATACTTACAGAGAACACTAAGTTAGGAGATCAATGAACATTTCTCATGAGATGAAACATTTATTGATAGGTAAAACACTCATACACAGTTTCCTAATATCATTTCACCAGACACCACGATTCTTCAGACGTTCAGTACACCTGTAGGAAATGATGAAAAGCCTCAGGCTGTGCTGATCCAAGTAAACAGGTTCTGAAAATGAAGAAGGTGATATAATATATTTTCATTTGAAGGCTTTTGTTTGCTTTTGTCTGATGCACTTGTTGGGGAAAACTGTTGACTTACCTGTAGTGTTCTCCAGCGGTGGTGATGTGAACAATTGATTGTTTATTCTTAGGATTATTTGGGTTTTGGTGTAATCCTTT